TCAAATATTCTTACTCCATAACCCCCCTCTCATTCCTCCTTTCACCATTCGTCCTCCCCTTTGAATGAATCCATGATAACACCTATGTCAGGAAGCAAATCCATCCCGTAGGTCTGACGCATGCGCAGAACATGTACATAAATTAAAATTATATTTATTAAGTAGTTATTTATTTCAAAATCGTGTATGCTAATACAAAGTACTATAAAATAAATGTGTATATCTAGATATGAAAAAATCATTTTCTTCTGTTATGACAAGTAATATGCAACTTCATCGCATCAAAGAATTCAAGGTAAAGATGCTGTCAATGGCCAGTTTTTAAAGAGTCCCAGTCTCTAACTATGTGCCTAGAATAAATCAAAATCGTGTACCTCGACCAATAATAGACTGACATTCTACACAAAGTGATATCACACAAGGTGATAAATAGGCCATCGCAGTTTTTATTTATCTATTTATCGAAAAATTCAAACAGTCATTCCAGATAGTAATGCCCCAATCGCAATTTTTCTGTCGCCGTGTATTTTCTCTTAAATAACACTGTGCCTGTAGTGTTAATCATTATGGTTGTATAGAATGGTTCAGTGCCTAATATTGTCACTAAAAGTTTGGCTCCATTTGTCCACATATGTGTTGTCACAATCAGTTAAAGTCAGAAATTCTTAAATTACGTTATTGTCGCCAAGAAGCTTTTTTAGGTATATGGAAGAAACAGACTAAGTTTATTTATCACAATCCGTATTATATATTTTCATGCGTAACAATGATGTGTAAGAAATATTCATGCAAAGTTTCAAATCCAAATACTAACAAGAACCTCTTCTTTTTCACGTTATAATAATGTCGCCAGATTTGTGAAAGTTACTGCCTGTTGCATGTATACCTGATATGGAACTTATACCAATGTGACGTTTACCTTCAAACAAACATCAAATACTAGTAAACATATAAAATATTCAGGAAATAAACAGAATTTCAATGTATTGACCAAGATATTTTATTTGTGACTTGTCAAAAAATATTTTTTGAAACTTATGGATAAGGACTTTAAACTACGTTACCAGATATCCAACATAATCAAAGAACGAAGGCACCGTTTTCCACATATGTTGTACTACAGCCTTTGATGACTTGATATGAGACCCTACTGTGTCAGTTAGTAGTGAATAAATAATTGTTTCGCATTAAAATGACACAAATATTAAATAACGTTACCTTAAACTACGTGAGTCTTTTTCTACGAAACAATCCTATTTGACTTGTTATATAACTACAAGCACAATGACAATGGGTCACATGGTTAGTTTTGGTGCGCTATGGCGCCATGTTGACTCAAAGCTGTGTATTATCTCTGACAATCGACTAAATTGCATCAAAATAGTTGAAAATATGTAAGTAAATACCCAACTCCATTTACAATCTCAGTAAAGAACATTTAAATGATTTCTAGATAATAATTTTGAAGCACATCATTCATTAGAAACATGGTATTTGTGGTGCAAGAACAAAATTTTCAATTTGAAATATATTTGGTGAAATTCGATATTAAATGTTGGATAAATTACGTTATGTTCGGTAACGTTACTTAAAACGATTGTCAATCCTTTTCTGACTTGATTTAGAGTTTCAAATAGGGGAACATTCCTTCAGAAAATGGGTAAATCAAAAGAAGTGATTCAAAAAACCTATATTGAATGGAAAGGAGAAAAGATGGGGAAAAGAAAGAAAGGGCGCGTGTTAAGGAAATGGTGGAACAGAAACATTTTTGAAAAAATTGCAATACCTGCTCATTTTATTTTTTGTACAAAATAAAGTATGAAGGCATGTAGAAATTTCAGTAAAGCATCGTCACAGTGTCTTCTTTTATTGAGTCGGGTAAGAGGTAAATCTTAACTCCAGGGAATGGTGAAATTTCATGAAAAACATTCAAAATGGACGTCTTTTCAATTTTCCAATGTTTTCTCAAAGTTTCTGTAGTAACTTGAGTTACCATGGACCTTTTACAAAGTTTATCAAAAGAAGATAATATGATAATGTTGTCCTGAAAAACAAGGAAATGCACAAATGCCGTCATACTTTATTTTCAACAGAAAATTACATGTGCAGGTATATACATTTTTTCAAAAATGTTTTCGTTACACCATTACATTAAGCGGTACCACATACCCAGGGTATACCACACCACCGCCCCTTAAAAAAGTTTTTTTTCTTGCTTTGCCTCATGAAGTGTAAAAATGAACCCCTGACGCAGTGACGCAGACGAACCCTATAATAATGAAGCAGCTGTTATGTACATGATTTAAAATTATACTGCTTCAGTCTATGATGGTGCTTGGTACATTGGAAAAGTAGTTTATGTGGATGGCGTGCTACGAAACATCATTTATGATTAACAGACGGGAGTATTTTTAGTGGCCTTCACCAGATGTACTCTGGGTAGCCAGAACATGTACTCTTGGTAGAACATGCAAACGTTCTTTGCCAAATAGTGGCTTTGATTCCCAAGTCGGAGAATGCTAAAGTTAAAGTTACCTGAACTGATGATGAACTATTTGCCTCCAAAAATTGAATCAAGAGACAATGACGTCTGATGTGTGATTTTGGACAGATATGATTTGAAAATATGTTTTATTGTAAACATTTACTAGTTCACGTTGACAGTACTGTTTTAGCAACGTTTCTAGAGATGTTGAATTGAGTGATCAAGTTGTTATAAGAAGTTTACATTTTGCATAGACTTTGAACAATGTATTTGCTCTCGCTATCTAATGACGACTATACCGTTTCTTTACAAGCGTTACCAAAATTTGCTGATTCAGTACTAGGATGAGGGGTCTATATACCAAGTACATTTAGCACCATTGTTATTCACAATATGTAATGATTGGTTTGGTTTTTTCATTGAAATGTCTTCTTGATCAGATTTAATGACACATGGAGCTGATGTTCTAAGATGTTAGTCTACGTTACCATTCGTTTAAATATAGTACGCAAATGCTATATTTTACATGAACGTAGTGTGTTTTCATAAAATGAGTTTCTCTTATATTTAAAACGGACCAAGCTAATTCTTTGGAAATCACTATATTGTGCAACTGATTGAATTGAAAATGTCAGTTCCCAGCAATTAATCTACGTTACAATATAGGCATGTTCAATGCTTGAGTTTTTTTACAAATAGATAACCATGACAGTATCCAATATTAGTGTTTAACAATGCAGAGATATACTCCTTTGCTCTGCTAAAAAGTATTAAACCGAGGCAATGGTCACAAAAGATTTACACGTAATGATTGAATGACTGACAAACATTATGGAAATTACAATTTTAAGGACAAACATATAAAATATTTGTAATTGAGCAAAAAAAGTTCAAAAGCCAACAATCATTAATCCTCCTGATAAGTATCAGTGCCCTAATGTCTGTACTTAAATGTAGAAAAACATTTTATTTGGTAGCACTGTCATAAATTAAGAAATATTCAAATCAATTAAGATGGTACCTATAACGTAATTTAAAATGGCACAAAAACTTTAGATTTGGACCACATATTTCAAATCAAAATTACCACGAAACCAAAAGAGTCTAAAAGCCAATTTTTTAGTATAATGCTGTAGACATATAACATAATAAAATAACAAGGTATGACGTGAAACGGAGAAACTTTATTTTTATCATTTCCTGAAAACCGATTGGGGCATTACTATCTGGAATGACTGAAAATGGCTGCCAAGTAATTAACCGATCCTGCCTAATCCTGTAATCACATGTTGGTGTTACTCTGCCATTGATTGGTAAAAATTTAAATTTCAAACGGATGAACAACGTTTCTGGAATTTGCATGGCAAGATAATCATAAGTGGCGTTAGTTCACGACTCAATCAAACGCCTTAAGCACAAGATGACGGCGAATAAAGCCCTTTCAAAATGCAATCAAATCACAAATCACAAGGTACGTCGACGAATTCAGCCAAAACAAATTATTATGTAAAATAATGTTAAAGGGCGTCAGGGGCGTAGTCAGGCCAGTCAAGGGGGGGGGATGCAATCTCCAAAAATATTTTGGTTTTCAGTCAGGGGGTGCTTTTGTTGCATAAACGAACCCAAAAAAGATTTTTGGGAATTTTACAAAAATTGATGCAGCACCTTTTTAAATTGAGCTAGAAACTTCAAATTAAAAGCATTTTAAAGTTGTTTTCTCCTTTTTTCTCATGCTTATATTTTCTTGGTTATAGGGGGAGGGGTACGAACGAGCACCATTGTATACTGATAATATCGTTAATTTCTTCAACACTCCACATTGATTGAGCTCATACTGCTGTCGTACTTACAAAAAACATTTGAGAAGTTAATATAGACCGTTTTGATATGTAACGTAGCGACGACTAATTATCTACAAAGCATGTAATGGTGGATGTTTCTTTAAGAGGCAAATGCTCATATTCTCTCCAAAGATCAAATTAAATGAATACTAATAAAACTGCCAATAAGCCAAGAACACGCTGTACACTTTCGGTTGTACGACGTGATGAGCATGAGGTATATGCTTAGTTAAGATTTCTAAAGTAGCACAATCCGTGACAATTCTTTGCAACGTTTACATGATTTCAGTGCAACATTTTTCAGTGTGTACCCAACCCCAGTGCAATGTTTTGCGATTGCAACATGATTTCACAAAACCATGTTTGTGAGGGTTAACATGATCTCAAGAGAACGTTTTGGAATGGCTATAGGCTCAACGTTGCAAGGATTTCACGATCGCAGTGCAATGTTTTTCAATGTGTAAATAACCCCAATGGCAACATGATTTCCGGTTTGCAAGGTTTACATGACCTTCGGGCAACATTTTGCAATGACTACATATTATGAGATTCTGGTTCGATGCCTGACGTCCGTTGATCAGAAAGGATAGTTTATGTTCCGGTTCTTGCATTTCAATCAATCAGCATGAAGAATATATCGGGAAATCAAGACATCTTAAAACTTCCATTTTCAATCAAGGCACAGATTCAGTTGTAACATCTTCAGTTACAGATTCAGTTGTAACATCGGTAACAGATTCAGTTGTAACATATTCAGTTACAGTTTCAGTTGTAACATCTTCAGTTACAGATTCAGTTGTAACATCAGTAATATATTCAGTTGTAACATTTTTAGTAGTAGTTTCAGTTGTTGCATCTTCAGTAACAGATTCAGTTGTAACATCAGTAATCGATTCAGTTGTAACATCTTCAGTTACATATTCAGTTGTAACATCAGTAATAGATTCAGTTGTTGCATCTTCAGTAACAGATTCAGTTGTAACATCAGTAATAGATTCAGTTGTTGCATCTTCAGTTACAGATTCAATTGTAACATCAGTAACAGATTCAGTTGTAACATCAGTAATAGATTCAGTTGTTGCATCTTCAGTAACAGATTCAGTTGTAACATCAGTAATAGATTCAGTTGTAACATCTTTAGTAGCAGTTTCGGTTGTCACATCTTCGGTTACAGATTCAGTCGTTAAATCAGTACCAGATTCAGAAGTAATATCTTCAGTAACAGATTTAGTTGTTATATTTTCAGTAAGAGATTTAGTTGTCACACTTTGAGCAACAGATTCAGTTGTCACATCTTCAGTAATAGATTCAGTCGTCACATCTTCGGTAACAGATTCAGTTGTCACATCTTCAGTAACAGATTCAGTTGTCACATCTTCCGTAATAGACTCAGTTGCCACACCTTCCGTAATAGACTCAGTTGTCGAACCTTCCGTAACATATTCAGTTGTCATAGATTCACTTGTAACACCTGTCGTTTCTGAATCAGTTGTCGCATCTGCCGTCGAGGAAGGTGCAGCTGCAACAAATCAAACTCTTTTATCAATTTGTATTATAAAATATCCCAGATAAACTGGAAGGTACTCATATTATACTCGAACATTGAATAGCAGATAAGAACTGAAATTAATGATATGTGTCGGTTTTTGCTGATTTATATGTTTGTCATAGTTTTTTTCTCTGATTGTCAGGTTAAAGGCTACGTGACTATCGTGATCGTTGTACTACACACTCGCTGCTACGAACAATGATATATGGCATGACGTTTAGTAAATGCACGCTTGTATTGTTATATATATACAGTACATACAAGTTGACGTGTGAGACATGCTAGCTGCTATAAGCTGTTACAAGACATGACATGGCGTATTCTAGCTCCTATAAGTTATGCAATAAAGCACCCCGCATAAGACAAGCTAGCTGGAATAAGCTGTTATAAGACATGACGTTATAAGACATGCTAGCTCCTATGAGGTGTTATCAGACATGTCATGACGTATGCTAGCTGATGTAAGTAATAAAATAAGGCATGGCGTATAAGGCATGCTAGCTGCTACAAGTAATGCAATAAGGCATGACGTATGATACATGCTAGCTGCTATAAGCTGTTATACGACATGACATAACTTATGCTAGCTGCTATAAGTAATGCAATAAGACATGCCGTATAAGACATGATAGCTGATATTAGCTGTTATAAGACATGATATGACTTGTGCTAGCTGCTTTAATAAATGCAATAAAGTATGCCGTACAAAACATCTGCTAACTGATATAAGCCGTTATAAGACATGACATGACTAATGCTAGCTGATATACGCAACGCAATAAAGCATGATGTGTTAAACATGCTAGCTGCTATATGGTATTATAAGACACGACGTTATAAAACATGCTAGCTCGTACAAGCTAGCTCCTACAAGACATGACATGACGTGTGCTAGCTGCTATAAGTGATGCTATAAGTCATGATGTAAGTTATGCTAGCTGTAATAAGTAATGATATTACACATGACATAAAAACATGTTAGCTTTTATAAGTTATGCTATAAGTCGTGATGTATTAGTTATGCTAGCTGTAATAAGTAATGATATTACACATGACACAAAAACATGTTAGCTTTTATAAGTAATGCTATAAGTCATGATGTATATTAGACATGAAAGCTGCTATAAGTTATGCTACCTGTCGATGCCCGACAACCGTAGTCGAATCTGCAATAGTAATAGCCCTGTGGGTCAGCGCTGTAACCGTACGGACAGAAGTAGGCGAGGTCAGGACCGAGGTTGGTACATCTGAAGTAGCGCTCACACGAAGATAAATCCTTCTTAAGGTAGTAAGTTTCATGTTTGCACGCCTCTGGAAGTAGATACGTCGAGGTTGAATTCCTATATCTTTAGTATTTACCTGAGACTTAGAATTGTATGTTTAGTTTGTCTCGGGTATTGATGAAAATACTGCATTTTATACAGAAAAATGCTGTATCATAGGCAGATATGGAATGGGATTGGGGTCGTAGGATTCTAATGCTTTTTGGAAAAATTAAAGTTCAGTTTATTTAATAGGGCTAAACTTTTTAAAATTGGTTTATTTAAAGGGATCCAACACCTTACAACTTCTTAACGGAGAGGAATAAGGGAAAATGCTTACCGGATTCTGAATCTGTGTATTTTTAATGATTTTTCACCGTCTTAGAATTTCAATATTCTCCTTTGAAAAAATGAGATTTGCATTGTTTTCCAATTAGAAAAATGAGTAAACATGAATAGCTCGAAATCTAACGGTGAGATTTTGTTTTAAAAAATCATGGATATCAAGGCTAAATATAGCTATACAGTAAACATATAAAAGCAATGCTTGGACTCTTCATATTCACACAAAAAATTAATTAGTAAATGAGGTTTGATATTTGTTAGAATAAGTTGTACGAGGTGCAATGCTCTACAAACACAAGACTACAGGGTGGATTAGGATCAATGACACACATAAAAATTAATTTAAAAATATTTCATGATAATTATCTCAAACAAAAGCAGTTAGCGAAGGATACGTTTCATTACACTCAATAATAGATATAACTGTTGACTATATATACATATCTCATGGGAATGTATTTCCATCTGCTCAATATATCATATTTTAGCTTCGAAAATCACAATCGTTGGATAATAAATTTGTCTCAGAATGATAGGCCACCCTGTAGCAATGTAGCTTTCACTTGAAGTGTACCCTTGAGAATAATGAACTTACTTTCAAATTGGTCTTGCTTTTGTGGTGTATGTGGCTTGTTAGCAAATCTGCCACGCTCATTTCTTTCCAGAACCATCTTGTTCAAATGTATCACTATATTATACACGCATGTATAGACAGATGACATAGATATACATATAAATTATATATTGCACCTGTATTTACTTACATGGGAATATATTCCCTTATGGAAAAATGCAAATGCATGAACATATATTTTCATCTTATATATGACTTCAAGCTACAGTAACATGTTATTTCAAATTTATATTTTCATAGTTAGTTTAACATGAATAAAAGATCCATGAGAACAATATTTTTTTTTTTAAATTGATGGGTTTACTGTGAATTCAATGAATTACAATTTGCAAGGGGTAAGTATACTGTATGAGCTAGCTAGTGGCTTTGTATTTTATGTTAGGCCAGGGTAATTAAATTAGTTGTTTCTCTTTCTTCTAATTTTCAAAATTGATACGGGAATGCCGGTTTTTATATTACCTATTTGTCTATCTAAAATGCCGATGATTTTTTTCTTTAAAATAACTGTAAAAACAAATAACTAATTTTGAAGGAAATAAACTGAGTTTATGTTGAATTTATATGTTGAATTTAGCCTACTTTACTGGTATATTTGATCATATATCAGTACAACGATATTGTCAATTATCCTGATCCATAAAAATTAAAAAAAAAGTGTTTCACACGCCATGGATGCGCGCGAGGTACGGTGTTTTTTCTCAGAAATGGCAGAAAAAAGGTGGAGGGGGAATTGGGCCACACGCGGGCAAGAATGAGAAACAACTAATTTAACAAGGCATTAACATGACAAAATGTCACCACCTAAAACAATTTGGACAATTTAAAGCAAGTTGGAAAATACCTTTTGACCTTAAGAAGGTTTGATTTGAATTTCTTAGAACATGTAGATGATTTTGAAAAAAAAAATCGTCAATTTGAAGCAAGTTGAAAAAATACCTCTTTGACTTTTTTTGACATTGAGAAGGTCATTGAAGGTCAAATGTCAAATCTAAAGTCAGATTTGAACTTCTGAGAACATGTAGATGATTTTGAAAAAAAAATTAGTCAATTTGAAGCAAGTTGAAAAAGACCTTTTTGACCTCGAGAAGGTCATTAAAGGTCAAAAATCAAATCTAAAGTCAGATTTGAACTTCTGAGAACTTGTAAAAGTCAAATTTGAACTTCTGAAAAGATGTAGATGATTTTGAAAAAAAAATTTGGTCAATTTGAAGCAATTTGAAAACAGACCTTTTTGACCTTTTTTGACCTTGAGAAGGTCATTAAAGGTCAAATGTCAAATCTAAAGTCATATTTGAATTTCTGAGAACATGTAGATGATTTTGAAAAAAATTTTTAGTCAATTTGAAGCAAGATGAAAAAAGACCTTTTTGACCTTTTTTGACATTGAGAAGGTCATTGAAGGTCAAATGTCAAATCTAAAGTCAGATTTGAATTTCTGAGAACATGTAGATGATTTTGAAAAAAAATTTTAGTCAATTTGAAGCAAGTTGAAAAAAGACCTTTTTGACCTTTTTTGACTTTGAGAAGGTCATTGAAGGTCAAATGTCAAATCTTAAGTCAAATCTAAAGTCAGATTTGAATTTCTGAGAACATGTAGATGATTTTTAAAAAAATTTTTAGTCAATTTGAAGCAAGTTGAAAACAGACCTTTTTGACCTTTTTTGACCTTGAGAAGGTCATTGAAGGTCAAATGTCAAATCTAAAGTCAGATTTGAATTTCTGAGAACATGTAGATGATTTTGAAAAAAAAAATTAGTCAATTTGAAGCAAGTTGAAAAAAGACCTTTTTGACCTTTTTTGACTTTGAGAAGGTCATTGAAGGTCAAATGTCAAATCTAAAGTCAGATTTGAATTTCTGAGAACACGTAGATGATTTTGAAAAAAAATTTTAGTCAATTTGAAGCAAGTTGAAAACAGACCTTTTTGACCTTTTTTGACCTTGAGAAGGTCATTGAAGGTCAAATGTCAAATCTAAAGTCAGATTTGAAGGTCAAATGTCAAATCTAAAGTCAGATTTGAATTTCTGAGAACATGTAGATGATTTTGAAAAAAAATTTAGTCAATGTGAAGCAAGTTGAAAAAAGACCTTTTTGACCTTGAGAAGGTCATTGAAGGTCAAATGTCAAATCTAAAGTCAGATTTGAACTTCTGAGAACATGTAGATGATTTAGAAAAAAATTGAAGTCAGTCTAAACAGTATTTGTTAAGTTATAGGAAGTTGTAAGAAATTGTTACAGACGCCGGACGCCAACCACCAACCGCCGGACGCCGGACGCCAACCTCCAACCGCCGTCGCAAAAAAACGGAGACCATAACAATATGTCACCACTTTTGGTGGTGACATAATTACCTTAACCTTAGTTCATCCACTAGTACGTTTTTACTGCAAAGTAGTGTTTTTATATGCAGCTTAATAGCATAAAATGTGTTGAGTGAAGCATATGGTGTGGACTAGTCGTGTGACACACAAACTGACCAATACATGAGGGTATTAGCTACTTTTCACATAAACCAAAGGAGGACAGTGCTTTTATTTCAACTGGGAGCTTACCTCCACACGACTGATCATGTGACCATGGTGGTGGTCCCCTTTAAGGGTTGTTTTTCAAAAGTCATCCGCACCTTTTTGTTGACGTTTGTTGACATTATAAAAACGCCATGACATTCGAAAGTAGCTTTATTTTTCAATATAAATATATGTAATGTCAAATATGAAAATATGTAATGTCAATATAAAAATCGATCATTCGTTATAGCATACACCTACATGTTTATACATTTACAAACAACAGCACACGATAAAAACGTTTAACTATTACGCAAATTCTTGTCTCACCTGAAATGGCCAATAGATTCGTCATATTTATACACGTAATATTGAATTTTCCTTTTTCTACTTAGTATGATTAACATTTTCCGACATGATCTGCAAAAATATATTTTGGCATGTGTCTGGACATAACATACTACCCTTAATTTGCTTGGAAAACGATTCCGAATTTTTTTTTATAAATCTAGCCTTGATCAGTTTAATGCTTTTCGAGAAAAATTATTTTATATTGACGTGAGTACACTTCGCTGTACACTTTCTAAACCATTCAGCTGCAGACATTACGCTGCCGGTCGAATGAATGCTTCGAAACTTACGAAGTGCAGTGTATGTAAACAACTTATAAATACCATATATTAATAATTTCTCACATTATCCATTTACCCACAAGGCAATTACACGACTATTACGTCAAACTTTACGTGATGATCATTTCTACAGGACTCCGTGCCAGAAATTCAGAATGTAAAAATTTCAAGTTTTTAAATGAAAAGTTATGCCCAACTATTGTTATTCTGCTCTACTTTCTGCACATGGTTACCCCCCTGGTATAAATTATAGATTTCCAAGAGATCACGAAAAAACATTTCAGTTTTATATACAATGAATTGATATCACATTTCAAATTTTTATAAATTAATGATGATGCGACTCCTACAATGCTGCAATGGAAATATATCTACATTGATATATGAATAAATGCAGTGAATAAATGCATGATAATAATATAAATAATAAATATTCAGATAAATGAGTAAACAAATAAATAATAAATAATAAAATGAATAATTAAATAAATAAAAACAATATACAAATCTCACCTTTGGCATCTTGCTGACTTGAAGGGTCTAAACATCCTCCAAATACATTATAACACGCGTAAGGTCTCACATAGACGTTGTCAGATTCGGCCTGTACTAGTGCTACCACCAGGAAACTTAGGCCGAGCACCATCAATCGTTTTGTGCAGCTCATCATTAGCATATTTAGCAGCTGAAGTTCCCCTTTAAAAAACAAGGAGAATATAATAAAACCCTGTATTTACGCTATAAGAAGTCTTCATATACATCATTTAAGTTATAAGGTTCATTGGCGTAGCGTCATAAGCATAAAACGTCAATGGCGTACTCTCAAATTTTAGAGAAAGGTTTATTTTTATATTGAATAGCTTATCACTTTAAAAATACAGGATATTCTGAATACGTGTAGTAACAATCAAATATGAAAAGCAAAACACCTGTTTTGTTCTATATAATCTACATTTTATTAGCCAACGTTAGTCGGGATTTCGTATTTTAAAATGGCCGAGAAAGCTTAAAACGCATTTCTTATTTTCAAATTTTCTACCCCCACCCTCGAAATTCCCCTAAAAGCTCGTTGAATAATGTGTTTTATCATTACTACTCTGATACAGCAAGGTCCTGTTAGCATTGAACAATTAGGCTGATCGAACAGTGAATATAAATCAAACAATGCTAGTATTTCCGAGGTACCCCTACAATTAGATTATTTTTAAATTATATATGTAACACTTTGCATATTTACCTGTAGATTTGGGTGTGTGTATTAACCCATTCTCAATAATAACGCTCTTCATTATTCAAAATATGATATTAAAAAGAAACGGTATTCCCCAACTGTATGGAAATGAATAAAACATATTGCGATATTCAATAAAAGATGAATATTGAGCCATGAGAATTATGAAAAAATATTCAAGGCTCAACTTTTTCATTTCGGAATTTTGGAAAATTACGTATGAAAGGTTTAAAAAATAAATGTTGTCGAATATACAAGCTACGCTACCTTTATCCCGTGTGTGGACTAATCCAATACTGGTACAACGAACGAAATAAAGACGCCCTTCTCCTGATTTTGCTCTATACTATTGTAGAAGAACGGTCGAACTAGGAAGTAACAACTGACGTGTATAATAACATTAAAACAAGAGGAAAAATTCCAAAAACTAATTGCTAAAACAAAGGTTCAAAGGAAGTTTGCCAAAAGTTATATCCACTCACTTACAGTATGCATCATGATACAATTATTTAATATGATGCCAACAAATAGGCTTTTAATAGCAGGTACATTATTTCTACTTACGGTACATGTACAGTATATATTCCTATAAAGGGTATGTCCAAAAATGAAAACACAAGGAATGTTGATCACATTTTATCGTATAACCTTAACCTTAATAACATTTCCTTTTATTCAATGGTAACGTTTACCCATCTTAAGAAACATTACCGTAAACTTACTACGTGTAATATGATTGACATTTCTGATTCATTTTACGCTAAACTTTTTGGGAATAATATCAAGAATTTTTTTATTTGAGCCCCATAGCTTTCCATCGTGTAAAATCATGGTATTTTCACTGGTGATCTACTCGATTAGCTGGTTACCGAAACGGTTCATTTCGGTAACAAAATGTCAGAACGTTGAAGGTACGATTTTTCTTTTTCCTTATTTCACACGTTGTAGTCAGAATTCCCACGACATTTTATCACACACGTGTATCAGTATCATATGTTTAAGAAAATGTACATGTTTGCGAGCAAATAGTTCAGAAGTCAACAGAATCGTCGATTTAATTCCTCACTTAAGTTACATAAACGGTAAGACATAAACAGTAAGATCTGCACTTTTAACCCAAACAACAGAATCGTCGATTTAATTCCTCACTTTAGATAAACGGAATTTCAAAAACAGTTAAAATCAACACTTTTAACCCATTCCGTCTATCTAACTTAAGTTGGGTATTAAATCGACGCAACGATTCTGTTGTTTTCTGAGCTAATCACCAGCGTAATCGAGCGGATCACCAGTGATTTTATTAATTCCTTTCGAGAAAGATTTCGAGTTATAAAAAAGAAAGATGCGAGTCTCAGAATTAAAGCTTGCCCAGTTATTCAAAGGTTTTCTCGTCTCTGTATAAACGTATTCGTAACTGTGTGTAATAATTATATTTTCGTATATTTATATACCATATGTACCATGTTTCTGTGTACTAATAACGGTATTCGACTGAATTATGACCTTCAATTAAGTAATTTCGTTCGTGTTACGATAACCTCCATAGGTAGCTGTTTGTTTTCGTGTGTTTTTCATTATGGTTGTTGGGGTTAAAGTTATACACATGATTGTTTTTATTAAAAGAGTTACATGTGATTAGGTCATACTTACGCCTATGTAACGCCCCACTCTCCCTCTTTGCGACGTGACATTTCCCCATAAGAAGCCATCTTTGATTTCCAAGGGCTGAAGTTTTCAACTTTGATTGAAGTCAAACTAATACACAGTGAGTTCAACAATTGTTCCTCAGCTCCTTTATTTGTTTTCATCGGGAGTCAGATACTGTGTTAAGTCAATGATATGATACATTCAATGAGAAGGGCGTCCGTGTCCAATAGTCCAACATTGTGTTCGATGTCGAAATGGAGTATGTCCCATGGAACAGGTTTAGCATCAATACGCAAATGTATCCCCCTCCAAGACGCACTAACCCCCCTATCACACCAAACTAGTTCTTACCCGTTCTTGCCAGTCCTACGAAAATGTCGTAAAACGGGCTCGATCTGGCTGCGGTCGGGATATGTGTCTAAAATAATTAGCTACTTCGTTCATAAACATTCTTCAATACGTCCATCACGTTCGCAGTTCGTACAGGTCGCACCACGTCGGTGTGCAACGTAGTATAAACCGTCCTTTAGTCTAGAAGGTCATCATGACCTGATTACAGAACGGTATGGTCGCCATCGAATTTTGAATCGATTCAAAATTATAAATCACTTACCCCGTCCGGGAAAGTCCATGAAGTTCGTAAACAGACCGTCGAACGTTGTAGCTACGTTCATTCAGTTCGCACACAGTTTAAAACCGATTCGGCAACGTTTTGATGATCACCAGAAAATATGGAGCATGCTCTAAGTGCTGGAGGACCTACTCGTTCTAGTAGTTTCATGAAGTTTGTAAACAGATCCCAAACGGTTCTTAGTGGGTTCTTAGTACGTCAAATCCGTTCGTGCACAGTTTACGCCCGTTTTCGAGAACGTAGTGAGAACTAGTTTGGTGTGATAGTAGGGTTACTGAATATACTACTTTTACACAATCTAAGATAATCATGCAATAAAATAATTTTGGAATGTGTTTTTGATCCTACCACCCCTATGAAAAAAATAAAAGCGCCCGCCTGGGTCGCTTGCTCGCCTGTAAAATACAGGTAACCAAGGAAATCTTATCTGTGAATCTTGCCTACAGGCGAGAAAGAGGACATGCTGTCATTCCCATCCTCCATTTTTTGTTATCGTTACCGCAAAATTTTGCAAATTGCCTTGACGTAACCGTCATGCTATAACACCGTGATCATATTCGATGCGAAAGGTGCATATATTGGTCTGGGTCAGATTGCATGGTGATGGTCTCATTAACATGTAATTTTTTTTAGTTAAGGTCACATTTAATTGTTATTCTTTCACACTAGTCATGCTGAAGATCTACACGTATATCTTCAATATTAATCGTGGGAAAACAATCGTCTTGGTTGCCCTCCATCCCAATAAGTAAAACACGTGAGTCCTGTGGATGGATATCCACGATAGCAAGGTCAATCTACACGTTTTAGGATAGTTTGTACGTGAACTATTATGATCACAGGGACTGCAAATGACCTCAAATCATTTAGTTATTCCAGGGAATATTTTTCTAATCCCTTTATATTCAATCCACACCCCTATTTGAAGGACTTTTAAGGTCATATCTGAAAATAATTGCTGCTGTTAACATGGCCAATGGGGGACTCATTGACTAGTAATGTGGTGTAAAATTGAACTTTATTTTGTCAAAACACTAACTTTTAAAATGACTGTAACTTTTTCCTATTTGGGAGTTAAACCATGATACTTGGAAAATCAATGTAACTTTGGATAAGCTTTAAAATGATATATGACACATACTATGAGGACACTGGAATATGTCTACCTAGGGGGGGGCATACTTTCGGGACACCCTGTACATAACTCTTTTTAGCAGGCTGGTTTATCTCTAAAATGCTCACATGTGATAAGTAGTGTGTAATGATCAATTAGCATCCATAGTTATCATACTTGGTGTTACGCGGTAAACTCGATAAAAATATATGTCATATTCCTCGACAAATATGGCTTATTCACTTGCGGTGTATTACAGATTCACCTGCGGTATATGGCATACGCACTTACCAATGAGAATGCGATACAGAAGTACGCAATTGTCAATTACATTGCTTGAGGGCAAAAGGAAAAAGTTTATAATATATCATACTGGTTACTGAATCAACAGGCCCATGAATTGGATATATAGAGGTTATCTAATG